CTGATTTCTGTGTCATTTGCCTGCTCCCTCTAAAATATAAGTTCCATGAGGGCAGAGATTTTTACTGTCTTTATTGCTATGAATAGTAAAAGTCCCTGCCTTTACCTAAAACAGTACCTATCCTCAATAAACACCTTCTGAATGAATGACTCAGAGCACATGACAATGTCACCACAGAGGACAGAACCAGGACATACACCTCTCAGCCCATCACTTCAGAATGTACTCGGCCACATACTCTGCCCTTCAGCACACAGACTAGCACCTCGTACCTACCACACTGACCCAAGACAGCCTGCTACACATTTGATCCACATTCACCAGCACTAATGTCTGTACTAAAGCTTATTACCCCTTCAGTACAGCCCTCACCATGCAACATGGTGTGCCAGTGGCAACAGGATCTGCCAACCAACTCACCAGCTGGCACCACCTCATAGAACCATGTTCCAGCCCCTGTCACACAAAACATAGCCCATGGCCAGCAGCATTTTGTCACCTGGGAGTATGTGGGCAATTCTCAATCTCAGGCTGGACCCCAGACCCACTGAATCAGAATCCACATTTTAATCAGATACCCAGGTGACATGTGTGTGTACATTATGTTTAAGAGGCTCTGCTAGGCTACATCAGATGGTACCTGTGGCACTTGCATGGGCAATGACAGATGGCAGGAGTCATAGCCCTCTCCACGCAGAGTGCAAGCAGCCATACATCAGACCCTTCACCAGCACCCAATGGGTGCACACTGCACAGTGATGTGGCGCCATGGCAGATATAAGTCAGCAGCCATGTGACAGCCCTGCATGAAAAGGTCCCCACAGAATCCCTTACATTCCTTAGCAGAATACATTGTAGTATCTTATTATAGAGCCATGTGTTTATTCATTTGTTTACTCAATAAAAATTATTAAGTATCTGTTATATGCTAAGCCTTTTTGATGAGACTAAAGGGCAACTGTCATGATCATTTAGTCTCGTCAGAAAGACATACAAGATATTGAACAAGAAATTACAACAGAGTGTGTGATGAGTTTGTTGATAGGACACTAGCACAGGATTACCACTCAGGACCAACAAGAGCCTCCCTGAGAGGGTGACATTCTGCTCTTTAATGAGGGAAAGGAGCAAGATGCCAGGAGGGAAGGGTGGTGGGAAGGGCTGGGTGGCAGGAAAGGCTTGGGGCATCCAGGAGAAGGTTCCACATGGACAAAGCCAGAAAGGGAAGATGGGTGCTGCAAGAAGTTCAGAAATGCTGGTTCTCACCGTCAGCTCAGGCTGGGGAGGAGCAGAGGATGGACCTGGGAAGTTGCCAAAAGCCATATATGTTAAGGAACAAAAGACAGTATTTGGGGACCAGCAGAGAGCCATTGGTGGGGGTAGGGCTTGAAGCAAGAGAGTGATACAATTGGATGCACATTTAAAAGATTACTCCATGTCCTGAAACAATACACCAAAGCTAGTATGTTCTAGTAGTTTTGAACAACACTCTGTGAACAACCCCTTGCCACTATAAAAGATGGCAATGAGAACAACTTTAAAAACCCATTTAAAATTATTTTAATGACCTACAATAATAAAGACCTCTACTGATGTTTGGATATACTCCTTTGTTATTGGCCATGTTTTTTTTCTTGCCTCATTCTATTTAATGGCATGTGTCAATCAGTAACACCAACATATTCATGCATGCATTTTAATATCTCACAAGGCACATGGGACTCCACAAGCACTGGCCCTCAGCCCTTCAGAAGGTGTGGGGGAGGGGAAGTGTGAAATCCTTAGATGGGGGTGTGTGTGACATGAAAGGTATATGCTCAATTTGCCTCAAATGAGTGGGTGGTATATTCATTATCATTATTTCTAATTCAGTCTGAGGACATCAAGGGCAGTGCCTGCTTCCCCTTCGAGTCAGGGTAGACCATCTTGAACTATATAAGCCCCATCCAGTCACTGCTTTGAAAGTCATTGTTTAAACATATGCCACAGAATTCATGACACTGACCAGTTGAAAGCCATATCAAAAGCACAACAGCTGAAGGATCCTGTTGACCATTACTAATTACTGTAATCTTTTTTATTCTTCATAAGAACAGCTACCTTTCCCAAGGACCTTTGGTGAGCCAGACACTGGGCTGGACCTTTTATAGCCATTACTGCTTATCAGGAATAGTCAAAATATTTGACCAGTCAGAACAGACTCTGGTTGTAAATAGCCAGAACTAATGGGAACTGGCTGAACATCAACCTGAAGTTGAATAATCACCACCCCAGAAGTTACAAACTGATAGCCCACGGCCACACACGGCTCATGTATGTGTTTTATTTGCCCTGAATTGTGTCTAATTTTTAAAGATTTGTCGCCAATATATCAAAAAGTAGATTTCACATAAAAGTCTTGATAAGAATGGAGTGCGGAATGCCTGCCTCCCTGCCCAGCAAAGCCGGCCAGCCCAGGTGCTGGCTTCCAGAGGGTGCTCAGGAAAAAACAGCCATTATTCTCCTGGATGATGTAGAAAGATTACAATGGTCATAATGGGCAAGAGAGTCTTCCAGCTGTCCAGCTGGAAATAAAGACCCTCTGTCAGCCTGTCAGTTCTCCAGGTGGCCTCTGTCCTCACCACTCCCTCCTCCCTCATTTTCATTACCTGCCTTGCCTTTTAGACACCTGAGTCTGTGACCTATTCTTGGAAGCCACAACCCCTCACCCAGACTGGTGAGAAACAGGGTCTTCCTCTTAAAGAGATTTTCCTCAGGTCCACACTCCTCTGGCCTCTGCTCACCTCTCCTGCCTCAGATTTCACAGTGAACTCCACAGTTGTGACAGCCTGGAGCGTGTGTCAGACTCCATGGAGGGCCTCACCCTCAGAGCTTCTGGTGTCTCCAGGGATGCTGACATTGCTGGGCAGGAGACCAAACTATGAAAACCACTGCCTATCACTAAAGCTGGACCCCAGTATCACAAGGTTCAAAGCTGGTAGCGATGAGAGCATTTGCATCTTTCCTCTGGCCAAATGAAGGGCCCACCTCTGAGTTTCCTGAATGGACAACCCATTCTTCTCTCCAGATTGCCTTTTGCTCTTTTTCCAAATGGGTTAATAAAAGTGATAATATTGCCCTTGACTTGCAGGCCCTCTCCAACCCCCAGTGCACACAGAAACATTCTCTTAAGGAAAAGCATCAGCAGGACCGACACTGTGACCTTGAAGACACTGCACATGAGACCTTGATAAATGTGTGACACCACTAACAAATCATTGCCAATTCTCCTGTACTAGGCACATGCTGAGTGTTTTATGTGTAGATGGTCCTCTCATGGAGAAACTATTACTATCACCATATTACAGATGATGAAATAGGAGCAGAGAGGGAAACTGACTCATCCAAGTTCACCATCTCTAGAATAACCAACAGACTGTTGGACCCACTGTATTCACTGAAAGTCAGACACTATTGGGGATATTGAGCTCAATCCTATTCCTGTATTTTACATGGGTGTTGATTAGCTGGAGGGCAATAGAGACATGGAGGTGAAGTCATATGGGACATGCTTGCAGGTATGTGCGTGTGGGAGGTGGGGAGGTATTGAGTCTGGAAATCACAAGAATCAGGAGCATAAGACCAGCATTTGCAAGCTCCCATTCTACAGAGAAAGAGGCTCTGGGTGACCAAACAGGACCCAAAGATGTCAGTTCTGGGAGGCTGATATGATATCAGTGTACAAGTATGCAACAATTGGAAGGACCACACATTGGAACTGGCTGCCTAAGAGACCTGTTTCCTAACACCAGGAAGTGTCCAGAGAGAAACAGGACTCACAGAGCTGCTGTCTCCTAATCATTTGAGATGTGCAGGACTGGGAAGATAAGAGAATCACCTGGGAGGCTTTCTTAAACTACCTGTCCTTTTCCCCAGGCATTCCTGCATGCCTCTGATGGGGTCCAACTGTCTGAATCCTGGCTCCTTTACACACTGGCTGAGTGAATTGGGACTGAACACTCAAGTTCTCCAAGCCTCCCTTTCCTCTTCCATTATAAACAGGTTGTGGTGAGGACTTAATTAGATGCTACATGCGAATTGCTTAATACAATGTGTGGCCCATAGAAAGTGGCCAAGGAATTAATAATAGTAATAACTAATAATAAAAATTTGTACGGTTATCATGATCATTTTCTTCACATCCGAGACTCTTACAACTTCAGGTTTCTACGACAATATTTATGTTTACTTTTCAGCCTCGGTGGGCAGTTTTACAACCCATAATAAAGTCACCAGGTTTCTGTTCTGCTTATCTAACAAAGAAATATTCTCCCAGCAGATTCACTGATCTGATGAATTCAAATGCCGACAAGTACTCTCTCCCGAGTTTTGGGGAACAGAACACCTTCATGTGTGGGCAGCGGTGGGAATATGAGATATCCCTTCTTATGTTATAACAGTTACCTCAGCATCATAGCTACATGCAGAGCCTCCAGCAGGCCCGTGAGCAGTTTGGCTTCTGTTTCATCTTCTTTCCCTTTAGTAGGGAGCCGCTTATTTACTGACTAAGATATAGTGTGTATTTCAGAATTAAATTTAAATACTGTTGAAATAAAAAAATGACTTTTTCAATGTTAGTATGAAGAGAAAATGACACCATTGAACCAAGGAAAAACTAACACAAAATTAGATTCTTTACCATACATAGTCTGAATGTGGATCTGAGTGCTGCTCACCAAAGAACCACTCCTGGAAAGCCACCAGCAAAGACAGTTACAGTAACTGAATTGATGAGATAAACTCAATATTCATCATCTTTCCCACATGAGTAGAGGCTAGACTGCATAAATGGAAATCTCCATTTTTACCAGTGACTTTGCACAGATATGTGGGCAATGCAAGTGGCCACGTCCACACCTGCCCCTCCGAGAGCAGGGTGTGCACTCACTGGGACAGGGAACCAGCGTGTGTGTGTTGGGGGGGGCGGGGTGTGCCCAGCAGTCAGGGCACGGCCTACTTACAGATTTTGGCTTATACGGAGGCTGGATCTCTTTGCGTTCAAGTTTCTCCCAATCAATGTACCTGAAGAATGCATGCTCTTTGATGTCACGTTCACCTTCGGGTCCACAACCCAGACGTTTGCCTGGGTGTTTGGTCATCAGCTTTGAGAGAAAGAGAAACATTCAATTTCAGAAGGGGACACTTGAGAGACTGAAGTGATTCCTCTAATGAATTAGGGAAGAAAGCATATTAAAAAGTCCCCAGTAAAACTAACACAGAATAATATTAAATGTAAGCTACAATTGAAAAAAAACTCTGAGAAAAAAAAGAACCCCAACTAATTTTATTTTTTGCTTTTCATCCCAGCCATAATTTCCCGGCCAGGGCTTTCTAATAGGCATACCCGACAATAGCACCAATAGCTACTCATCCCAGAGCAAGATCCCTGCGGTTAATCAAGCTCTGAACTTCAAGTTAGAAATGTCACATGATGAATTTTGGTTTAAGAATTTGTTTCATGCAATTACTGCTACACTTCATGAGAACAGTTTCAATATCTTCAAATTCCCCTCCCACCACAAGAAAACTGGAGTTGAACCAAGGCAAAAGACACATTCATTCAGATAATATTTGTACTTCTCAGTAAAGCCCTTGTGAAAATGACAAAACAGAAAAAAACTATTAGTCAAATGGACTGACCCAAGTTTCAAGTAATTACAAAATGGAAACTCATTAAGTTGTCAAAACCTAGTCCAGCTCATTCCCCTTGCATCACACATTATACTAGATTCTTTGAGGTTTCTTTGGTGTTTCATTTAAATTACTTAATTATCAAAACCTTCCATCTTTGGGTCTCAGAGCCAATGTAAATAACAAAATGAATAGATGCTCCAAGATGAAACCAGACAGGCTTCCTATTGTAAATGAATCCAAAGCAGCTTACAACTTCAGCCAATGTACAACGTGAAAATGGAAGAGGGATGATTTGAAAAAAGTACCAACGAAAGGGCATCAAAAGTCAAAACAAAAATGATTAGAACATATAAGTCCAAAAAGTTTCCCAGAATTGAGCAGACGCCCAGCAGCACGTGATGTCAGAACCCGCAGATTTTGCCCAGGATTTGCTGGTTACAGGGAAGGGAGGAACCCAGCAAGTCACACCTGCTCTGTTGGACAATCAGCTTCACTGAGTCCTGCTTACAAAACAATTTTCCATCAGAAACTACTTCCTCCTGACCCCCATATGCACATACTTGCCATATGTGCTTTATCTTTCAAAGGAAAAATAACTGGGCACTTAACATTTTAAGCTAACTGTTTATTTTCACGCATGATCTTACCTGATTCTGACAATAACCCTGTGAGTTGTATATATCCTTTTTCCATTTAAATGACAAGACAGTTGACACAGAGGTTGAGCAACTAGCAAGGACTCAGAGATAATAAGTTTGAGTTCCAAACTCAAGTGCAGATAGTAAATGGCAGGGATTGGATCCCACCATTGCCTAACTCCAAAACTTGAGCTTTTAAAGAAAAATGGAAGAATTCTTCATGTGTGGTTTCCCCTGAGATATTTGTGGCTTGGCTTGGTCAGGAAGGAAGGGCCTATGGAGGGTGAGCAAATTGAGCCAAGCTTTGATATTTGTTAGGATTAGGATGGAGGAAAGAAAGGGCTTTGAAATTGTGGCTACTAGTACTAGTACTAACAATAGTATCAGTAAGGGTTCCATGCACTGAGAAGGCTCCGTGCCAAAGGCTTCCCAGCCCCACCCATTATACTTTTGCCTTTGTAACAACACTTTGAGCTCTTAGCAGCTATTATCCTCATCTTCCAGACAAAAAAAAATGGGTCCAGTTAAGTAGTAATTTGTCTACATCACACAGATAAGTCACACAGCTGTGACCTGAACAGATCTGCCTGATCCAATGCTTTGCAGCTCTGTCCTACATGGTCTCTGCTTGTTTTCGTGTAGATGTGTAGCCAATTTGGGCTTCTGTCTTCTCAAAGTTTGTTCAAAGTGGGAGTGGCAATCTGAGCAAATATATACTGATTTTTTTTATAGAAAATAGAGTGGGTACAGAAAGAGCGTATTCATTTGAATTGAGACTGCATCCAAAAGCCTTGCTTAATTTTCATCTAAGTAGGAGGATGTCAAGCACAGAAAAGCCACTGCAGAAATGACCCACGCTAACAGGAGGCTCTGTCCAGTTCCTGCACTCTGGCCATGTGCCTGAAGCTATGCAGACGGCTGGATTTAATCAGTGGGTCCCATCTCTGATAGCCTCCCAGACGAATACCCTGGGACCTACTGATCAGCAGGAAGCATTTGGCTGTTCACTTGAGCATCACCTCTTCTTTGGCAGCTCAGCCTTGAAGGAAGAACTCACACTGGACTCAGCCCATTCAACTCAGAAAGGTCCCCAAACCCAGTAGTTGGAAAGTCACCCCAGTTAACCCTGAAGGTTATGGGTCCTGAGTTAATAGAAATCTGCTCTACTAGGGAAACTGCTAATTGGAGCTGAAGCTGAATGCAGCTGACCTGGAAAAGTCTCTCTCCTTCCATGACCCACTTAGAATTCTCAGCTGTCCAGGCCAGGCAGAGTTGTGATGGGGAAAGGTCCTGAGTGTGTATTGAGCACCTACTATATGCCAACACCACTCAAGAAGCTTTCTCTTATGTTACATCATTTAACACTCTCAAAAACTCTGTTCAATGAATACCAAGAAATAAAATCCCAGCAATACAAAGTTAACTTGATCAAGACCATGTACCTAGAAAGCTGAAGGTTGAGATTTGTAAAGGGGCTCTTGATCTCCAAAATCCCCCACTTAAAAAATTCCTATCATCGGAGAACAAACTCAAGCGCCAAGAGGAGTCTGGCATGTAACACAGTAGTGCCAGAATTAGTAACAGTAACAATAAAGCTCAAGGTTTTGGAGGCAGAGCACCTGGCTCTATTCTAAGTGATTCACACACACTAACTCCTTTAATCACTGAGAACCCTATGTGTAGTCCTATCATTGGCCTTGATCTACAGATGAGGTCAAACCATTTCCTTGTGTCAAAGGGCTTATAATGCTGGGATCAGGATTTGAAGCCAGATGAAATTGGGTCACCTGGGGATTTTTACAAATTGGAGAGAACACGTTCCATCTAAAGGGGGTACTGGCTCCCAATCCAGCTGATGTGCTTTGCAGGAATGCCAGGCTCACCATGGCAACATTGCATTTTTTAAGACACTGGAAAGCTGAATGTTTACAGGACATCCCTGATTTTTAAATGTTGGCAATCACTAAACAAACTAAAATTTCAGTGGGTGGCGTCCTCCCTGTCCCTCCCTACCATAAAATCTATAGGGGTCTGCACTGGCCTCATTCTGTGCCCTCTTTTTTCTACAAGCCTCACTTTAGCTTCTAACGAACCTATAGGTCTCAATTCTCTGTCCCTGTCTCATAACTTCACAGAAAATATTTTTAACCAATTCACTCTAAGATGTTAGAAATTGAGACTGATCCCCAGGGATAACCTAGGCAGCTTAAACACCAAGCTTAGGTGATTCACTAAGAGTGGGAATTGCGCAGGTGTGACAAGGTGCACCTAGACTTATCAAGGTGGTGAGAGGCTGGCCCAAACCACCGAAGTGTTCCAGCATTCCGTCACCCAGGGCAGCTCACATGGCACCTGACCACTCAGGAAGAGCAGGGCTGGAGCGGGCAATGGAGAATCTGCAAACACTCCAGGATCTAGGACTGGCAGGTCTGCTTTATTCAGACACACAAGTGGGAACCCACTAGAAGGCACAGCCACGCTCTAACCTTGAGATCATGCCTTGAAAACAGCAGCATTTCTGGGCTTTATTCTCCAAGGCCTCATCGTGTTGCTTTCACACTTGTCACAGGTGGAAAGTTACCACATTTGGATAATGTGTCTAAAGGCATATAGTTTTCAAGCCACACAGAGCCCTTTGCAAAATACAAAAGCATGTCAGGTCAGTCCAATGGCACTGAAGGTGGGGCCCATTCATGTCCAGGGACTCACCTGGGTCACTGTGAGCACGTGCTGGCCTAGCACCAGATGCACAACAAGCAATCTCTTCCTGAAAACAGGTGTCCTGCCTCCTTCACAAGTGTGATTTATACAAGCTGAATGTGTACAAGTGCACATGCTCTCTGCTGTTTGGGTGTTGAGTAGGGGGCAGGTGGAGAGTTAGGGTGACTGAATTTGGGTCAGCTTATTTAGAGAATCCTTCAAAAGTATATTTTCTTCAAACAAAACCCACATGCTCTTAGAATTAACCACACACACGCAGCAGTCCCAGGCATGGCTGTGGATTCATGCTGCAGACCACTCTCATCTTCCCACGTGATCCAACTCTTCTGCTGGATCTCTGCTTCCTGGCTCATTCATTCCAGTCAGGGTTCCTTGTGCTGGGCCAGAGGCTGGAGCCCAGCCAGCATCAAGATGAGGTTACAGGTGGGCCTCTACAGCACTGTTATGCAAATGAAAAAAAGTGCTGTTTCCTCTGGGAGGCAGCAGGTCTGAGACTGGACTTGGGGTTGCCAAGTGGGATGGGAGGTGGAGCTCGGTCTCAGTCCCTCCTCCCAGGTGGGGCATCCTAGTGCAGGGAACAACCTGCACCCTGGATGTGGAGGTCCTGGCCCAAAGCTCTCAGGAGCTCACTCACCCCTTTGCAGATGGCCACTGCTTCCTTGGACATGGACTTAGGATAAGCCACATTGTGTTCCATGATGGACTGGAAGAGTTCATCCTCATCCTCCCCTTCAAAGGGTGCCTGTGGGACAGAAGACGGGGTATGAAGAGGATTCCTACCTGAACCTCCCCAACTGTCTCAAACCAGCAGACTCTCCTCCCTGGGGCCCCCAGGGAGGCTGCACTCCAGGGCTGTCAGCAAGAAGATAAGGAAAAACAGCCAACAGGCTAGGGTCGATGCAAGGCTGTGGAAGTCAGAGAGGTTCAGATTTATGGGTGGGTATCAAGTTGACACTTTCTTCTAAAGAAAACACACAGATGGGGTGGAGGGAGGACTTTTCCTACAAATCAGTTAAAATTCAATTACCTGACCAGCCAGCATTTCATACAGCAGGACTCCAAATGCCCACCAGTCCACTGACTTCCCGTATGGCTGATAAGCAATTATCTGGAAGACAGAAGGCAGTCCATCAGGGAAGCGTGCAGGTTTCCTTCACAGCTGGAGACTGAACATGCCCCTCCACAGTGAGAGTGATCATTGCTGGGGGCGGGGTGGAGGGAGAGGTCTTCCTCTGCCTGTCACCTGCCTATTGTGAAAAATTAAATTCACTGTCACTGTCCCAGATGCAGGCCACTGTCTAAAACAGAGGACAAGGAACCTGGCATCCACCCAAGCTGTTTCTTCACCCTTGGAAAGATGGATATTCCTTTCAGAGGCACCTGCAGGTAGGGAAAACATCTGTGTCTTTTGGAGTCACTTAGTATGGTGTGTTATTTTAAATTTTAATACAGTGAGTGTGACATTTTAAGAAGAAAAACTGTCTTTGTTTTTCATTATAAAAGTAATAACATTTATAAAACAATGTGAATATACTTATTACTACATAACTGTATATTTAGAAATGGTTAAGATGGTAAGTTGTATGTTTTTATTCACCCAAATTTTAAAAATTAAGTTAAAAATGGAATAGCATTTATTAATATTTTACTATTTATTTAAAAATATAGATAAGAGAATACAATTAAAATCACCCATAATCCTTAATCAAGAGAAAAGTTATGATTGATATTTAATCTATTTTCTTCCAGGTTCTTTACTATTAACACATATTAAGCTCTGTGTGTATGTATATGTTTTACATAAACATAAACACTTTAATGTGTAGAATAAATTTATTTACTTAAAATTTCCATGTTAATATTTGTATGTCAACACAATCAGGTTTACCTTAATATAGCATTCCACTGAATGACTACCCAAAATCTATCTTATCAAATCCCAATTGATTAGGTTTCTCTGATGCTACATATAGATGCTTGTATAGACGTTTCGACATTTGACTAATTATTTTCTGAAGATCAATTCCTAAGCTGGAAGACAGTGTGGAAGGCAACACCCTTCCTTTTCCCTGACAGTCCTTCCTGTTTCACAGTACTGTATTATAAGTTTCTATGTGCAACTTTTTAAGTGTACAAATAAAGTGACATATTTTTTTTCCTAAAAAAAATAAACAAATAAATAAATACCTAGAAGTAGAATTGGGGAATCAACTGATATACACAGTTTTCAGGTTTTCTTTATTTTTTCCCAGTATATTTTATCGATTATGCAATTACATTTGTCCCATTTCCCCCCCTTTAGTCCCCTCTGCCCTTCCCACCCCCTCCCAACCAGCATTCCCCATCCTTCGTTCATGTCCATGGGTCATACATATAAGTTCTTTGGCTTCTCCATTTCCTATACTATTCTTAACCTTCCTTTGTCTATTTTGTACCTACCATTTATGCTACTTATTCCCTGTACCTTTTCCTCCATTCTCCCCCTCCCCTTCCCCAATGACAACCTTCCACGAGATTTCCATTGCTGTGATTCTGTTCCTGTTCTAGTTGTTTGCTTAGCTTGGTTTTTGTTTTTGTTTTTTAGGTTCAGTTGTTGATAGTCGTGAATTTGTTGTCATTTCACTATTCATACATAATGTTGATCATCTTATTTTTCTTAGATAAGTCCCTTTAACATTTCATATAATAAGGGCTTGGTGATGATGAACTCCTTTAACTTGACCTTATCTGGGAAGCACTTTATCTGCCCTTCCATTCTAAATTATAACTTTGCTGGATACAGCAATCTTGGATGTGGGTCCTTGCCTTTCATACTTGGAATACTTCTTTCCAGCCCCTTCTTGCCTGCAAGGTTTCTTTTGAGAAATCAGCTGACAGTCTTGTGGGCACCCCTTTGTAGGTAATTGTCTCCTTTTCTCTTGCTGCTTTTAAGATTCTCTCCTTATCTTTAATCTTGGCTAATGTAATTATGATGTGTCTTGGTGTACACTTCCTTGGGTCCAACTTCTTTGGGACTCTCTGAACTTCCTGGACTTCCTGGGAGTCTATTTCCTTTGTCAGGTTAGGGAAGTCCTCTTTCATTATTTTCTCAAATAAGTTCCCAATTTTTTGCTCTTCCTCTTCTTCTTCTTCTGGCACCTCTATGATTTGGATATCAGAATGTTTAATGTTATCCTGGAGGTTTCTAAGCCTCTCCTTATTTTTTTGAATTCTTGTTTCTTCATTCTGTTTCGGTTGAATGTTCATGTCTTCCTTGTGTTACAAATCGTTGATTTGAGTCCTGGTTTCCTTTCTATCACTGTTGTTCCCTGTATTTTCCTTTTTTTCACTTGCACAGCCTTCACTTTTTCCTCTCTTTTGTGACCATATTCAACCATTTCTGTGAGCATCCTGATTACCAGTGTGTTGAACAGTGCATCTGATAGGTCAGCTATCTCTTTGTTGCTTAGTTGTTTTTTTTTTCTGGAGCTTTGATCTGTTCTTTCATTTGGGCCATATTTCTTTGTCTCCTCACAGCTGTTACATTGTAAGGGGCAGGGCCTGTTACATTCACCAGGGCAGAGCAACCTCCATTGCTGCTGTTGTAGCACTGTATGTTGGGGAGGGGTCACAGAGGGAACAATGCTGTTTGCTCAGCTCTCAGGGTGCTTCCAGTCACTTCCCCTGGTACCCACAAGCAAATTGGGCCCTTCTGGTGCTGATTCCCAGGTGGGTGGCTATGCATACAATCTGGGACCCTGTGGGCCTCTCCAACAAACTCTCCTGTGAGGCTGGGAGTTTTTTCTGCTGCTGCCACGCCCACAGGTTTTTTCAGTGAGAGGTTTTGAGGCCTTATTTCCCTGCACTGGAAACCTGGGTTGCGTGGTCTGTCTCACTCCCCAGTTGTTCTTCCCAGTTAATGTGGGACTGACTGGTCTGCCAGCCACAGCTTTGTCCACCCTAGTCTGTCAGCTGCCAATTCACCCACCAGGTGCTCCAGCTGCTGCCTTGCTGAGCACCCTGGCTGACCATCTCTACCCCTCCTACTAGTATGAATGAATGTTTCTTCTTCAACTCCTTGGTTATTGGTCCATACAGTTCGATTTTCTGGCAGTTATGGTTGTTTTTTGTTTTTAAATTTGGTGTTTTCCTTCTTTTGGTTGTGGGAGGAGGCAAAATGTATCTACCTACACCTCCATCTTGGCTGGAAGTCAATTTTCAGATTTTTGATACTTATTACCAAATTGCTAGGGCATGTCAAAATCTAGAATAGTTGTGACCATCCATATGTCAGTATGTAGGGTATAAAACTATGTATCAAAGGGGTTCAGAGGTGATAGAGCAAAGGTGAAAGATCAAGGTCTGAGGTAACTATGTATCAAAGGGGTTCAGAGGTGATAGAGCAAAGGTGAAAGGTCAAAGTCCCAACTTGGGATCCTGACTGCTACTGCACAGCTGTGCAACCTTGGAAGAAGAAACATAACTTCTTTAAATTTCAGTTTCTTCATCTACCAAAGTTCACAATGATATCTATGATGTCATAGGGTTTGTGAGGATGGAAGAAAAATATATGCCTCATATATTACATCCTCAAAATGTTTGCTATTACTGGAACGTTCTCTAATTCAGTGATTGCTTATTTTATTAAGTAAATGTGTCTCCACAAATTTGGTCCATTTATAAAATGGCACGTCCCACCTGAGGTTCTGCTCAGATCAGAAACGTTCTCCAAGGAGAATGAACCACCAGGGGGAAGGCTTTCTGTGAGGACACTTCTCACTGTATCAGTATCTTCACTTCACTTCATATTGATCTTCCTGAGAACCTAACAACTTAATCTTGTTACAAAGGAGAAGAGAGACTGGGGATGTGAAAGAAGGTGCAAGAGGTGATGGTTAGCTGATGGTGAAGTTGGGGGAAGCTGAACCTGCCCCTTACTCCATCAGTGGGCTGGAGAGGGGGCCCCTTGGGCATATTGGCATCACAACCCCCAGGCAACTGTTGAAAACCACGGACATTGGGCCCCACCCTGCAGAGAGTCTGATTCCATCCATCCAGGAGGATGCCTACATTTTAAAAGCTCCTCGGGTGACTGTCAAATGCAGCAAGAGAGCCAGAGATTATGGAACTCAAGGCAGTTCAGGAAGAACTGCCTGACAAGAACATGTCTGACAGTAAACCATGGTAGGCCACATAAGGAAAACTCCATGGGGTCCTAAAAAGGATTAATTCTTTTAAAGGGTGTTTTTTAAATGATTCCAGTATTACAATAAAAAAATACATTTGCATTGTGAAAATTTTAAACTATACAGATTGAGCTAGATTTCTCTTTACCATGCCTTTAACCCCAAAGGTAGCCAATGTTATAAAACCTGTAATCTTCTATATTTTCCATGCTCTTACACACTCACATACATACTCAGAAGAAACATATAGCAGTGTTCTGTGTATTGTTTAATTTTCCACAATGGGTATCATGTTGCATTCATCAGTCTGACCTTGATTTTTTTTCTCTTAACAATAGTCTTAAAGATCTTTCCATATCTACATATATATCTAACTCACACTTTTGAATCAATGTCAGCAGTATTTTATACTATAAATAGTTCAGTCTACTGCCCATTCCCTGACTGATAGCTATTGTTCAAGTTAGTATATACGGATGTACTCTGCACTTCATAAAGGCTGCATATTATTTCCTAGTAGAAATGTTGAATATTGGAGCTTACCATTCCTTTACTGATAGTCATTGAGGTTGTCTGCCAAAAATAGTGCTTTGGTGAAGAAAGGGTTTTGAATACATATCCTTCTACCTGTGTGTGTTTCCAGGAACTAGATTCCTGGAAGAGGACCTGCTTTGGTACAAGAGAATGCAGGTTTTAAATTTTGTGCTGAGTTATTTAATTGCATGGGGTTTCCTGTCACCATTGTTACATATCAAGTGATAGACAATCAAGGAAAGAGGAATTCCAGAATGTCCATTTCTGAGAGTCTGTGCCACACCCTTGGTTCCATTTCTTAAAAAAGCCTAGTAACAGACTGCACAGAAAGAAACCTATCTGGGCATCAATTCAGAGAAAAAGGAAAACTATCCTCTGGCACAAATTTTTGACCCATGATGTGCTAGGGAAACTCATTCGGCAACTGATCATCTCCTTTAGGAAGGGAGGGGGTACTAGAATTAAATCTTCACTCTTTCATTTGTATCTTCATGACCAGAAGAAAAATTCTGAGTCCACCAGGGTTCAGTACAACTACTGCATACCTGTTAAGACACACCCTGTATCATATGTCAGCCCAGGGGACCTCTCTCTCTCATTTCCCTCCTCTTAACAAACACTGCAATGTCACAATTAGGAGGTATCATCTGGCTATGAGCCACAGCAGCTTGATGAAAAATTTTATTGATATGTGATGGATGGTTCTTTTGAGTTTCATTTAAATTTCTCCCAAACCTTGATGTATTTTGGTCCTGAGCTTTTGGATGTGTGCTGAGTTAATCTGCATGCACAATCTCAAAGGGATGACCTGGAGTATGGGAGGAGGACAGTCTGAGGTTTGCTCTACTGCAGCCACGTAGGGAACAGGGGTCATCGGTGCAATGGGCACTGGGGTCCCATTGGCTCTCACCTCAGGGGCGATGTAGTCTGGAGTGCCGCAGAACGTCTTGGTGGTCACCCCATCCCAGATGTTCTCCTTACACATGCCAAAATCAGCGATCTTGATATGGCCCTCAGAATCCAGCATCACGTTGTCAAGTTTTAGGTCACTGTTGCAAACACAAGAATTTAGGGACTTAATAAATGTTATATATTTTAGATTAACCACTCATTTTGTGCAAAACATTGTGCTGGTGTTGTGGGGGAACAGAAGTGAAAATAAGGCAGCCCTTCCCCTCCAATAGCTTACAACTTGGCAGGAAGATCAAGAAGGGTGCACGAACCTTTGTGTTTTTCTTTTTCTACAAAGCAATTGTGCCAAATTTCTCACGAGGACATAGTGAGACATCAGATCTGAGAGGAGAGGCCCATAGAATACTAAATGAAGGGCAGAGTGTCTGCAGAGCACTGTATCCAGTAGCACTTCACAAACTGATGTGTGTAAGCCCCCTTATCTTTTGTAAGAAGAGATATTTTTCACAGAATTATTTTTTTTTATATTAAGGAGAATAATGGAGGAGAAAAACTAGTTGAGAGAACCCAAGTGCTCCAAGCTCTCCCAGGCCAGTTTCTAGGACATGTGCCAGGTAAAACCACTCCTCCTTCTGACATTTACGCTTCATTATCAGAAGTAAAGGGTGAGTGGGGCCTCTGCGTTCAGGATGAGAGATCATCCCACCCCAACCAGACTTCCTATCACCACTCCAAGGAGTAAAAAAAGCCCCAGGACTCTGCAGGCTTCTGGCAAGGACCCCATCTTCCAACCCTCTATCCCACCAACACCCACAGACTTACTATTTTACCTGCCTTGAGACCATCAGGGCTGGTCCCTTTATGCCTTGTAGTCCCACATCCTTTAGTTGCTTTAAAAGGTCCAGGACTCTGAGGCCACCCTAACTCTTCAGACCCTAATCCCATGTTGCCTGCAGAATGATGGGCAACCCAGCACCACCCAGCACACATCGGCCCTCCCCACTGCTTGATGTTTCTCTATAGCTCTTATCACTACTTGACAGATTACATCTTAATTTATGTGTCTGTCTCCCACCACTACAAGTTCTACAAAGGCAGGCAGCTTTGCCTATTTTTCTCACAGGTACCCCCACCACCTGAAACAGTGCTTACTTAGTACATAGTAGGCTTTTGATAAATGTTTGTCAAATGAATGAATGAAATGAACTTCTGTGGTTCATCAGGGTCTCTTAAACAAATCCTCGCCTGTGCCAAGTGCCCTTTGGAAGCCCCATGCCCTTGCCAGTTTCTCTCATACAGCAAAGCAGCCCAGGCTGGCACTGTCTATGCTATTTGCATCCATGTGGTATAAGGAGAATTGCACACCCTGGACTTGCTGACAAATAGCAGCCTCAGGCTCAATAGTCTGCTTTGCATGAAACATAAAATGGTATGAGTCATACAGCTATGATCATATACTTGCTCCTCCAAAAACGGGCAAATGCCAAGTCCCAAACTTAATCCTGTCTTTCAGGGCAAGCTACTAGGAAATCCATTTCTAATTGTGGTTACACAGTAAAACAACACAATTTGTTTCATAATACTATGATCTATCATATTCTGACAGCCAAGATTCTTTGCTTGCTCCCAAAACAGGGGGTCCATGGGCAAGAGAAAGAAGTACTGGGCCCTACTGGTGAGGCTCTTCCTATTACAGCAAATGGTCTCCAGTTTGAGGCTCCAAACCATCCCTGATGGCAGAGTCCATGGGGATCATTATCACCACACACAGCCGCTGAACTCTGCCAGGGCAGTGGGCGATGCTGCCTGGTAGAACACATGCCCAAGTTAGCACTGGAGGATTCCTCCCCCACCACAGAGTCTAATTTTAAAAGCAGTTGAAGAAAGAGGCAGGGAAGGGAGGAGCAAAGGCAGATGAGGAGATAGAAAGTGCTCACGTACCGGTAAATGATGCCCTTGCTCTGTAAGAAGAACAAACCGATGGCAATTTCTGCAGCATAAAATCTGAAATTAAAAAAAAAAGCCATGGAGAAATGCAAGGACATCATATGCTTGGCAACCCTTGGAATTCAATATAATATTGAACTGGCATAGGGCATCAATATCCCACCATGGATGGTCAGCCACCCACCTCATAAAACAAACTATGGGAGTGCGGATAGATAAGCAGAATTTAGAGAGCTATGAGGCTGCCTTAAGAACAAATTGGGGTCATCAGACGTTCAGCAATTACTTAGTGGAAAGGAGGCCATGGGATATGATGGACTAGACAGAGAATGATTGTTTCAGATTATACAAGGTTAAAATATCTTAATAAAAACAGCTACCATCTGTTGAAGGCTGGCCACATATCTAACATCTTTTTAAGTTATTATCTGATTTAATTCTAATAACAATCCTATGAGGTGGGTTCTACTATTACTTCTCTGCTCCTTAAATGAGGAAACTGAGGCTTAGTGACATGAAATAACTTGGCCAAGTTATACAACTAATAAATGACCCAGCCAGGATGTGAAATCTCTTACTGAAGGCCCAGGAGGCAAGAGGCTTGGAGAGAACCAGAAAGCCACAAGGGCTGGGCAGGGCTTTAGGCACTGTGTTATGTGCCCTGATAATATACGTCATGTGTGCATGTGTGTGCACGTGTGAGCATACATGCATGTGTATGCCTGTGTGTGCATGTAGGAAAATGCAAACCCTATCAGAATTCAGGGACAGGTGGGAGGATGGGGCAAGGCTGCACTGAATGGAAACTTCTGGAATGACAGGATAGGGCTCTAGGTGAGTCCTAGGGACTTGCTGACAGATAATAAGATCTTAGCAAATGCCCTAAGTGAGGCTATCATCACTCACCCTAGGACTTGCAATATTGCTGTTCACCAACAGTGGGGGAGAAACATGATGACATTGTGTTCTGCTGCTGGGAGTATACCCTAAGAATCCTGAATCATCAATTCAAAAGAACCTATGCACACCTTTGTTCATAGCAGCGCTATTTACAATAGCCAAGTGCTAGAAACAGCCTAAATGCCCATCAGTAAAAGAGTGGATCAAAAAACTGGAACATTTACACAAAGGAATACTACTCAGCAGAAAGAAAGAAGGAACTCCTATCTTTTGTGACAGCGTGGATGGAACTGGAGAATATTATGCTCAGTGAAATAAGCCAGTCAGTGAAAGGCAAATACCATATGATCTCACCTATAATAGGAATCTAATGAACCAATAAACTAATAAACAAAATAGAACCACAGTCATGGAAACATGGAACAGACTGAAAGTGACCAGCAGGGAGGGAGGAGCGGGATAATGGTGGCAAGAAGAGTAAGGAAGAGTGAGGGACTAGACAAAGAACATGTACGAATGGCCCACAGACATGGACGAGAGTATGGAATTGACTAGGGGAGTGGCGGGGGATGGGGAGAGGAAGGTAAAGAGAGGAAAAATGGGACAACTGTAACAGAATAACAATGAAAATGATTTACTTAAAAAAAGAAGAGATGGGTCTTTGTAGACTGAAGGGGACAGAATGGACTCCCATCAGTCTCCCCACTCAGAAGCAACAGAGCACAGCCACAATGCAACTTGGTCCTCATCCCCTAATGTGGGGGCATGTAAAGGGACCATGGTGTAGGACAGAGAACATGAGCAAAGATTTGGGTCAGAATTCTGGATCTGCCTCACACTAGCTCTGTGATCTTGATCAAGTTTCAGAAAAACTGCTTGGGCTGGGCACATAGTGATCTCTCAATAAATACTGACAAATGAGTGAACAAAACTTACAATGACATTCTCCAAGGAAGCTAAAGGCCTTTCCTTGGGAGTCAGGAGCAAGAATTAGAGATGAAGAAACAGCTATGGTTTTCAAATGTCAAGTTCTTAGCTGATGTCAGGAAGAAAGAAGCATGCTACATCAAGCAAAGTGCCTTTCTTCCTAGCCACACCTTTCTTATGAAGAAGAATCTTCAAATATTTCAACTCCCTATTCAGCTACAAATCCAAAGAAACTAACAACCTGCCCACATATCCCAAGGGAAATAAATGCACAGCAAAGTTCTCACTTACACAGCGTGAGGCTCCTTAAACCGGCCAACCTGCTGGATGTGGTACATGAGGTCACCACCATTCACGTATTCCATCACAAAGTACAGGCGGTCCTGGAGTAACACAACATAACAACATCAACACCTGTCGTTTCTCAGGTTCCAAACGGAGAGCAGGGAATAGCTGGGACTTATGGCCTAAAACTACCAGGACTCTACAACAGGCCTCTAGCTACTGGGCCCATTGTTACCCCATATGCCGCCTTTGTGCCACTGGAAGTATGCAGGTGAGCACCAGTGGTACATGAATCTTCTTCTTAATTAATAACTCTAAGTTTATATTCATTTGTACTGAAAAATATAATTAGCATATGAGTCTTGGGACTTATTTAGTGTAAAGCTAATTTTAGCAAAAAGTGAAAAATATTAAGTAAATCCTATTATGGTTTATAGGTGGGCCTACTGATACCCTCATGATGCCCCCTCATGTTTTTCACCTCTTGGTATTCACATCCTTGTGCAGTCCCTTCCCACAAGGAACAGAAGTGACTTAGTAACCAATAGGATACAGTAAAAATGACAATACATGACTTCCAAGATGGGGTCATAAAAGACATGGCAGTTTCCATCTTGCTGTCTTAAATAACTTGCTCTGGAGGAAGGCGGGGCCATGCTGTGGGGACACTTGGGCAGCACTGTGGAATGGTACATGTGGCAGAGAACAAAGGCCTCCTGCCAAACAGCCAGCACTAACACCCAGCCACGTGAGTGACCCAACTTGGAAACATCCACCAGCCCCAGCCACACCTTCAGATGACTGACACCCCAGCTGGCAACTGGACTACAATGTTTTAATTAAATTTACTGAAGTGACATTGGTTAACAACATTACATAAGTTGCAGTGTACAACTCTATAATATGTCATCTGTACATCGCATTGCGTGCTCACCACCCACAGTCTAGTCTCCTTCCATCATCATGTATTTGACCCCCTTTACATTCTTTATTCTCCCTCCACCCTCTTCCCCTCTGGTAACCACCATACTGTGTCTGTGAGTTTGTTTTGTTTTTGCATTTGTTGCTTCCTTTTTTATAACCTATATGACTGAAATCATTCAGTTTTTGTCTGTTCTTGTCTACTTACCATATTTTTGGGGTTATAAGATGTGCCCTGCCCCCACCCCCGCCCCAAATTTAGGAGGAATAATGGTTGTTAATGCTGCTGCTGAGATCTGCTTACATTTACATTGGTGAAATATTATGTTATTTATGTTATTAAATATTTTACCACATTTTTTGCTTCAAAACTTTTTTCTTATTTTCCTCCTCTAAAACCTAGGTGGGTCTTATGGTCCAAAAATATGGTATTTCACTTAGTACAATAAAGACCTAACTATAAGACTTAAAAATAAAATATATGGAAAAACACATAGGTAATAAATTTACAGACCTTGGTCTCAGAGAGGATTTTTTTAATTTGACTTAAAAGCAAAAAATAAGTGAATGGGACTACATTAAACTACAAAGCTTCTGCACATCAAAAGATATCATCAACACAACAAAAAGACAACCAACCAAATGGGAGAAGATATTTGCAAACAATACCTCATATAAGGAGCTAATATCCAAAATATATGAAAAACCCATACAATTCAACAACAACAAAAACAAACAGTTCACTTTAAAAATGGTCAGAGGACCTGAAAAGACACTGCTCTCACGAAGACATACAACTTTCATTTGAGACCCCAAAGCCAGGACCACACAGGAAAGCCACTCCTGGGCTCCTAGCCCACAGAAGCTGACAATAAATGGTTAAGGCACTTTTTCAGATGCTCAGTAATAAATAACACAGTGACTATGGGGAAAAAAGAATGATTAACATTTGAAAAATAGTGGCTTTAGGAGGGCATATCCAGAAGTATAAGAATTGGGGCCAGGAAAAGAAATCTATACCCTATACAGGGAAAATTTTCAACACATCTTTCAAAGGAGATGTGAAGTCCTTCAAGCCCCTCTGTCCGGCTCAGCTGTGTAAGCCCTGTTCCTGGGCCATGGGCAGCACATAGTAGTAGTAGCAGCAAATAGAGAGTAATGCAAGAAAGACTTCATTTGGAACCCAGCTCTGCTCCCTGGGAGCTGAGTGTATCTGCAGAAGTTATCAAACACCTGGGTCTACTTATCTGGGAAACAGATAATAACTGAGCCCCAGTGTTGTTGCTGGATCCAATGAGACAGAGGTGTGTGAGGGTCCTTGGGCAGCACCTGTGAGATCTGCCTTCTCATCTTCCATCTCAGGGTGTTTGCTAAGTGAAGGAATGGCTCCACCTCTTCTTAGAGACTTCCACATGGGTCAAATCACTGCTTTTTTCCCCACTAGATGATCGACTTAATAAAAAGTGAAAGAAATGAGTGTAAATGATCAGAGTGTCATACAGAGTACACTAGGTGTTATTTTGTGAAATGTATGTTTAGGTTATATTTATATGTCAGTATGGCTGGGTTGCAATGTAAAAGGTTTGCTGTCAAAAGTTGCAAAGCTATTGTGGGGGCTATAAGACCAGGAGCGGGGATGGTGGAGAAGTAAAGCACAGCACAGTTTCTGCTTTTGAAATCAATGTAGGATTTGAAGTCTTCTTCCTATATACTTGACTGGCTGTATAACACAGAGCAGTCACTTAATCTCTCAAATCCCCAGCTGCCTCTTCACCTGCAAGTGAACATTATTTACCTGCCCCATAGAGTACTAAGATGACATATGGAAAGTGTCTAGCATGATACTGGCCATATTCAAATGCTTAACCCACCATTTTAAGAAGTCCCCTTACAATGCATCATCATATATATGTCATATGAGCATTTGTCAAATGAGTATTGAGTGTCTAATAATTAGAATGACAGTAATCATGAAATAAACCTACCATCATGTTAGCACTTACTATATGACTTAGCTAAGTGCTTTATATATTTGGTCTCACTTATCTTTCTAAACAACTCAACAGAAACAGGATTGCCATTCTCCCCCTTTTAAAGACATGAATGTTGAAACTCAGAAGGGATAAGTAACCTGTAAATGGTCACTCAGTAGTTAAGTTGCAGATTCAGAATTTGAACCCAGGCAGATTGGATCCAGAGTCTATACTTGCAACCTCTTAGTAGCTGCCTCCTGTGTGAGCTTCTGGCTAGAAACGGTATGGATGTGTAGTATGTCCTTCCCTCGGAGGGTGACCAGTCCAGTGGGGAGAGAAGGCACATGGAGAAGCTGGCAAGTTAATCAATTATTTTTGAAATGTTGTAGGACTTTCTCAGACGAATACTACTTCACCCTCTCAACATCTTTAATGAGAGGCAGAGAGGGAGGCAGAATTATCATTTCTGTTCCCAGCATCGAATGCATATGACATCTGCAAAATGGTCACATACAACTTAGTGGCAGAGTGGAGACATCAGCCAGAACTGCTGACACCTAGATCCTCATTCTTTGGGGGAGGGGGTTGATAGAAAATAAGCCTCAAAATAGCATCTGTCTTTGCTGCATGTTGAAAAGAACTAAAACACTTGCTTTTAAAAATTATTTTTAAAACTAGCAGATGGCATCGGCCACAGAGAAACAAGTGAGGGAGAGATTTCACTTGCTTGCTTTCTGCTTGGAAGAGCTCAACTTGCCCCCTAAACTCATTAGTCAGAATCCCAGTGTTGGGGGCAGAGCTCCACTGTGGGGAATGCCATGTTCTGTGGTCTTTTCCCACCACTGAGTGTCTGCAGGGAAAGCCTGAAACCCATCATCTTTGAACTTCACTGAGTCTGGCTCTAGCACACCAGGGCTCCAGCTATTACAGCTGGCATCTCTGTCTTTTCATTTTCTGAACAAATGCTTAATGATGCCCACTCTATGCCAGGCGGTATTCCACTGCCAGGATGCTGCTGTGAATAACTGGGTACCCAATGGGAGGGATTCCCCAGACAAGTGCGGAGACCAGACACATTTCCCAGCAGCAACGTTTCCCCATATGGGATAGGAAATGACTTTAGTTAAACTACAGATGTACATGCCATTATCTTGATAGTTTTGTATTTATTTTAATGTATATTGTGAAAAATAAAACAAGCACTTGAAGTCCCTAGTTTTGTGGTTATTGATACGGAGAGGGAGAGTAAGATGCATGGGGTTACAAAAGAGGAGAAGGGCAGGGTGAGACCAGATGACAATACTGGGTAAGGCCATCCACCCAAACTTCCCTGGGCCCCATACTGGATTCAAGGTCTTTATCATGTTTATCTGCCTCATCCACAAACATTTACTTAATATAGAAATATTTTTATTAACTTGATTTTTTAAACATAAGCACAATTATTTAAAAGCTTTAAAACTTCATATGAAATTCATAAATGGAAATTTGTTGTTTCTGTACAAAATAAACACATGTGTGGAGCCTCTCAACTCTTTGTGCCATCCAGTCTGGCTTTGTTTGGTCCATCAATACCCAAAATGACTTATTTTTACAACAAATGCAATTTGTCTGTGTCCTTCCAAGTTTACCTCCCACTCAAAAGTAAGGAACACACTACAGAGGCCACCTACAGCTGGTATGGACCAGAGAAGGGAGTTTTAGAACTTCTATTGAGCAGTTGTTTTTTCAAGTCATGCATTAGCTGTCCAAAGGGCAAAAATGATGCATAAAATAAAAGTTTGCCCTCAAAATTTTGGTTAAAACAAATATACAGCGAACTCAAGCCACCATCTAAAATAAAATGTGATAAAAGGCCCTATGTGAGAGGCACAAAGAGAGAGCTCTGGTGGCTCTGGCCACTGTAACTGCCTCCTACTCCTTATGAACTTTACAGTGCCCTCCACAGTGCCCTGAAATGTGACTCATCCCCTATTCTTTCTACCAAGTTACTCTAAGGTCTCAAAAGATCTTTCTCATAGTCACATGCAGTAGTTTTTGATTAGGACTTATTTTTTTTGTACCACATAAAATCAAAAAGTATTTCTTGAATATCAACTGAAGGCTCAGCTTGGCTCTCTTCTACTTGCTCAATTTTCCAAAGAGGACTTGTCACAGTCCAAAACTTCAACTTTCATCCTCTGGGCTGATGAATCTTGACTTAT